CCTTCCCTTCCCTTCCCTTCCCTTCCCTTCCCTTCCCTTCTCTGTTAATGTGCATTGCATATAAAAAAAACCAGGTGGAACTTTGATCACACCGTCACAGCCACCACCTTGACTTTTGACCAAAACCTGCAGACACCCCTGTTGGGAGAAAAAAAAGTGGATATGAGAAAGAATAAATAGAAGTTCTAGTAACTTTGGGCACATTCCTTCCCATCATCAGCATGTGGCCACCAACAGATTTCTCCAAGGATATGCAGGTTTTATGTAGGCAATAAAAAACTTACAAAGTGTGTTGCAGAGGGACAAAGAAAAATAAATGCCAGTTTGTTATGTGGGTCTTTTGGCTACTAATAATAGTAATAATAGCAGCTCTGACAGGAGCATTGGGTGCAATTAAAAACATCTGGAGCACCACTTGAAGACCATTGGCATTGACCAAATCACCATCAGTCAATTGCAAAAGGCAGCTTTACTTGGAAAAGCTTACATCCTGCAACGATACCTTTCATATTATTAAACAACAGCATCTGCCTATCCCAGGTCTTTGGGAAGGACTCGATAGGTGGACAAAAATGTCAAATCCATTCTAAACATCTGGCTGATTATGTGACCAACCACAATAGCAGCTCTGAGGAGAAAAAGTTGAAGGAAATATAAACATTGTACTGCTAGGGCAACAAACATTTGTTATGCAATCTCTGTTCCCTGTTAAGCAGAGTTTTTTAAAAAATTAATGTTATTTGTTAAATTTATGTTCTGCATTTCCTGTCAAAGTTGCTGCTGAAGGATATTTAATTATTTCATGGGAACACAGTTAGGAACTGGTCTTATGCCCTTAAGATTGTTTTGTTCTACTCTAGTGTCCCCCAGATATATTCAATTGTACTTCCAGAATGCCTCCAGCCCAAGGGTATGCCTCTCTATAAATATCTGGATGGCTGCTCCTGTAAGCTGTAGACAGATCAGATTGTGATAAAGTTTCAGAGCATCAGTGTGTGGTGCTTTGTTTCTTATTTTAATTTTTAATGCTCTTTTTCACAGTATTTTTTCCCAATGGCAGCTTGAATAAACATTTTAAAAACAGTGTCTTCCATGTTATGTCTAAATCATTTGCATAAAAGTACATTGACATGGAAACAAATGAAATGGGTTAAAAATAAGTACAGGGATAACAATAAACAGTAATAAAACAGCAGGAGTGAACAGACACGAAAATATAATTAAAAATCTATAATGCGGGACTAAGTACAGAAAAATGGAAATTAAGTTACAAGGCTTGGGAGCATTAAAAAGTACTATATTTATCTGAAAGGAAAACAAGTCCAAATTAAGGAAGAGTAGATAGACAAAATGTGATCCTATGCAATGCACATTTTCCCAGTTTGTTAGAATTGCAAACACTTGTTGACACTGTTCCTTGCAATGTTCTCCTCTGTGTGTGTGTGTGAAAAAGAAAGAGACTTGTAATTATAAGTGTCTATTTTAGCCAACAAGAAAAAAAATACAAAAATACCTTTCAGTGTTCTCCACCAAATTCATGGACAAATAAACCATATGGCTGATCACTCCAGGGGAATGAAAACCTCTTCAATTTCTTAATTTCTCAACTCCTCTTCAGCAGTGGTAGTAGTGAAAAGGTTCACTAGGAAAGGTTGCTGTACGATCATTAAATCATTTGGGATTTAAATGAAGTAGACCTCCGAGAAGCTTCAGGACACAAGTGTCCAGCGACAGGCAGGACATTCCTACATAACCCTTAGCCACCTTAACAAAAGAAATCCAAATCACACTCAACTCATAAGCATTTCTCCCAAATTCTCTTCTCCTTTGGAAGCATTTCTGTAGGAAATTCTCTTTTATCATCTCGAATAAGATCTGTAGGGGGGAAAAAGGATAATTTTTTAGCACCCATTCAGCTTAGGCAGGAGGAAATATAGAGAGCATTGGGAGAGCATCAAATCATTACAGATAGACCCTTTACTCTGGGCTCCCTCCAACTTGCACCATGCTTAATGCTGCTATACAATTTAGGGACAAGGAACCTACTAGATATTAGAGCGGATTATTTGTCAAACTTGTCTAGGGGAAACGAATGTGAGTTCCTAGGACTATGTGGCCCTTTTTGGGCAGCACCCAGTTCTATAGTTGAAAATTGGTGGCATCATAATTTTGAGATGGAAAATACTCAGAAACTTTGCTGTAAACTTAAAATAGGTTTAAAATACTTTTTAAAAAAATCTTCCTAATCCTCAAGGCATAGATTCTCAGAAAACAATTGCACCTTCTTTGCATTATCACCATGACCATTATAGCCCCAGATACCCTCCAAACAGTGCAAATTCCAGCTATCAAAAGATTTAGCTCAATCTTGTCTACTCTGTCTGGCAGTGGCTTTCCAGAATTGTCCCATCAGTGGTTATCTGCTCTTTTAATTGGAAATGGCAAGAATCGAATCCTGGCTCTGCCTGAATACAAAACATTAATTTTGCCACCCATCTATTTTTTCTCTGTTGAAAGTCCAACTTCTGAATGCACATGTGTGCTTGAGATAGGAGAAAGGGATGTGATAGGTTTTCCCATATTGAACATTACAGTGCCAAGGAACAAACACACGCACACACACACACACACACACACACGGTTAACTAACAGTAATCTTGGTCCAAGAAATTCAGCTCCTGAAACAGTGCTTTACTCAGATTTAGCACTTTACATGTATTTCTACACCAATTAGAGGGCATTTATCTCTCACATACATTGTGAGATGATTTGAATGGATCTATTTATAGATAGGTCCATAATCCACGAATCTAACTGTCTCGGTAACATCATATAGACTTCTACCAGTGTGTGTAGAACCTAGGACTGTAGTGCACGATCTATAATTTAGATAAACAGAATTAGATTTATGAGTCAAGGTTTTGTTGCATTTAGAGAACTGTCAAATGTGTATGTACAGGCTTGCGTACTACATTACAAAGCCTAAGTAAGTTTCTAGCCTCTCTTAGAAACCTGTACCAAACTCTTCCTATGGGAGACTTGATTTTATCCTGCTTGGGATCTGCCTTCTGGGGGGCTGCAACAAATACTTACATGAGCTACTTTTCCTTTTGTTGAACTGCAGGTGGTGGAGGCGGCTGGAATGATAACACTTCCTTCCTCTGGTCGGGAAAATCCTTGCTGGAAGGCGCTACCGGAGGAAAATCCTGCCCCCAGGCCATGAAGAAGTGGGGGTGGGAGACAAGAGGGGGTTTCGGAGGGGGTGGAGGGGGGTGCTCCTCAGGTGGAGGAGGCGGAGGATATATAGGTAAAGTGGCTTCGTGTTCAAGGTGTCCCTTTCCCTCTCTTAGTGCTAATGCTTAGCAAAATCTTGAAATACTTTTTTTTCTTATAGCTGACATATCTATATTTATACTTACATCTATCTTTATATTAAATGTTACATAATGCTGCATATTTATACCGGGTGTCCAAGACTCTGCATGGTTATGTTATACCAATCTGAATATCCATTGCTAGATTTTAAATTCTGTGGATAACTTTGGCTAAAGGGAAAGAAGGTCAGCTGTGAGGAGCTTCTGGTGTTCAAAAGGCAAGAGCCATGTCAGTTTTCACAGCTTGTCACTAAGATGTGTAACTATGCTGGAAAGTGGTCCTTGTTGTGCAAAAATGGAAATCTACAATAAATTATATCTGATTGATTTCAACTCTACATTTTTAGGATCTTAACTGACAGGCATTGACGTGGAAGAATTGTGTGCAGAATTCTTGACCCCCTGTGTATATATTGCCTTTTAATACTAGACGAGTATAATATCAAATATTATAGCAGAGAGAAAAATCATCTTTTATGTGTGCATTATGAAGGCTGGTGTATATCCCCATGGTTTGGATTGGGGGAGAGACATTTATTTGGCATTACTTTGTAACATCAAATCTCTGCAAATTACACAAGCAACTCTGTTAAACTGCTATAATACCCATTGGCATTAGCAAAAGTCCAAACCTGTGGCATAGTCCATGTGGCAGAACATTTGGCAGAAACATTCAAAAGCACCCTATCTAGTGAAAAAAAAAAAAAAAAATCCCATGAGGACATGCCATCAACCTTCAAGATCCTGCTGCAAATGTTTAAAAGATGGTGACATTTGCTTTATGTTTCTTAATGATAGAAGAGAACAGATCACATAAACCATTTGGTGATTTGGATGTGGTGGTGTCAAGGAACTGTTTTCATTAAGAGTTTTTTCTACCATGAACATCCATCAACCCAAATTTCAAGGGATTAAGCAAATAAATCAGGCCTCTTAGCTTCCTTGCAAATGGATTGCCGGGAAACTTAATAACACCATCAGTATAGAAGACTTATAACAATAGGTCTTAGTGCTGGGTGTCAGACACTGCACAGGTTAAAATTGTTCCCTCAAGGAAAGCAAACATTTTGCAAAAAATTACTTATCTTCAATCATTTTGAGCATCCTGAATCCCACTTCTTCTCACCTATGAGTGATTTATAATACCTTATGTTGCTAACCTTCTCTTTGGCTACAAATGAGGTAGATGTGGTGACTACTGTGTTTGTATTATAATGAGATTATTGTTTTAAGTTGATTGTTTTAATACCAGAATGTGAAGACCAGCTCAGATACATATTGAATATATTGCAATCTGTGACATTTAGAAGAGTTTATAGAAAAACTTGTTCTCAGCACATTGTTGAGTGATGCCAATAGTACAGATGACCCTTTACACAAAACTAAAATCATATTATATGCTATATAGCAATTGGCTCTTCAAAAGAATTGCATGGACCCACTCATATATTTGAGAATCTCAGAGGAAGCAAATATTTACAACATTTCATTTAACTGCATACATATTATGTACAGAAATCTAGTGCCCTCAAGATATTTTGGATTATAATTGCCAATAATCAGGAGTGATGTTATAATCCAAAAGATTCACCAACACTCTCTCTCTCTCTCTCATATGCACATGCTTCCTCTTGGGAAGAATAAAATTATGTCTCCTGTATGAATATTTAAATGTAGAAATAAATTGGTTATGTATTCTACTCTTGAAAGAGCACCTCTTGGATTGGTAGGAATGACTAGTTGGGAGATTGATTGGCTTGAACAAGGATCAAATAGATAATGAGAAATGAAGCTGCAATGCACAGTTTAATAACCCAGGATCAGTTTAACATATGCTGCCATTTCAGCATGGTCATATTAATCCATATGCTTCCATACTGGATAGATTGTTGTACATTTAATAAGCTAAAAAAGAATAGTTATCTAATTATTACTATTCACTGGGAATCGGTTTAACTTTTGCATATTGGGAAATTTTCAGTCTTTCATTCAAATGACTGTTCAGAGATTATGTTATGCCTTTTCTCCTAATTTGTCATCTCTGTGCCTGGGACTGTGCTGAAACATTCATTTACTTCATTAATAACACAAAAGTCTTGTTAAACTGAAATTCTGAAGTTAGAAGCTTAAAGGTCCATTAAACTGCAACCCATATGGAATTTATTGGATATTTTGCCAGCTGAATGCTTTTTTCTGTTAGATGCTTTTTATTTTGTAGTGTTGATTATTGGTATAATTCATTTACCTGCATCTGACAAATACCAAAAAGGTAGCCATGTTGCATGAAAAAAATGTTTTGTGTCACCTGAAAGATATATTGTGGCATAAACTTTAGAAGGTCAGACCACTTAATCAGATCTATTCCCACTGGTGATGAATAGACAAGCATGTTTGAAGTATAAACAAATTCCTGAAAACGGACAAGTACTTTCTGTAGTATACAAACCACTCTTCATTTTATGAGGCTCAAAGTCTGCTAAGTTGAAGTTGTAAATGCATTCCAAATTGCCAACTTTATGTTTATTAAGTACAAGAAGTTTACAATCCATGATAGACTAAGATGAACCGTCTCTGAGTATTCAGAATGAACAATCAAAAGAGGAAGTTGCACACAGGCCTTGCCCTCATGTCTCTGTCACTGGAGGGGGCACTCACAAACCTTCATGTACTCAGAGTTCCTGATCATGACGGGCTTCTTACCTTAATTTATGATGGCTTGAAGTTGGAATGCCAAAGTGGATTGTAGAACTGCTTCTTGAATTTTTTCCTAAGTGATCCCACTTTTAATATGTGGTAACTTATGGTATCCACTGAGACTCTATCAGCACTATGCCGATAGGCTAGTATATCAATTGGATTTAATGCTGTGCTCATTTGTACTCAAATATAAGATTTTTATCTCTTCTACTGCTTGGCCTTTTGGCCTCATTATCCAAAAAGAAGGTGTGTTGTATTTTCTCAGCATTCAAGAAGATATATCTATATCAGACTACTCTTATAAAGCCCACACAAAATTATGCTACAATGTGTTATTTAATCTCAAGGTGCCACAAGAGCTTTTGTTGCTCTTTGATATGCATTAGCTTAGCCACACAAAAAATATTTAAGATCTTTTCCAATTCTATAGGTGGCAATGCAGCAGAACAAAATGACCCAGAGATGGATGGAGAAGATGGTGTATCTTTTATTAATAGCCAGTATGGTTCACTCTTTACTCCTGCATTAAAAGGTATTTTCAGTTATTTATTTTATCACGTATACAGATAGAATATGAGCAGTCTTTCTTCTGAGACAGCTTGAAAACATTCCAGTTGTTATATTAGGCATTGTGAAGACCTCTTAGGAAGGTATTAATCTGTACATTCCTATAGAACATGTTTTTCTACTTTGATGCTCTCCATATTGTTCGACTACAGTTCCCTTAATGCTGAATTATTATGCCCAGCAGATATGCTGGTTAGGGACTATACTCCTAGCACATCTGGGGTGATACCAGGTTGGAGAAATTATTTCTAACCGAGATGGGTAGAATCTGGAGCAATTCAGACACAGTATCTTTCAGTGGAGGTGGAAAAGGGAGTGGGGGTAATTTTGCATTTCCTCTTCTGCATATGTGCATTTGTAGTAAAATCTGTAGATAGGAGGAGTCACCATGCAAAGACAATTTGGGCATAAATCATGAGGGAGTATCTGCAAGTAGTAATATTATACTACAGCTGAAAATACTGGGCAGCTATGCTTGCTTACCACGCCTACCTCCAATAACCAAAGCCATTACCCCATGTTGAGCATTTCAATTTTGCTGGTAGTTTCACAATTGTCCTACTTACTGATCTTTTATTTAGGGTGCTTTATGAACATTTGACCTACAGTTCCTGTACAAATTAATAATTGTTCTTTCATCTACTGTCTAGTGACAGAGGGTCATGGTGAAGTCAGCATTAAGCTATATTTGAACTGTAGTCACTGTGAACATGACATGTGCCACGGGGATATGAAGACTCAAGAGGTTGTTTGCATTTGTGGCTATGGATATGTGTTGGCTAATGATGGTGTCTCTTGCATAGGTAAGACATTGCATAAGAACATACATCAAACTTTTGCTCTCTGGCTGTGTTGAACTACCCCCAGCCAGAATCCAGTGCTGATTTTGGATTCCAGTTACAGTGGCAGAACAAATTTGTAGGGTACTAAGTTGTGAAAGTTGCTTTATCCTTTAATTGATCATTTGTGCAATGATGCTAATTCCAGCTCTTTGGTAAACATTTAGATACCTATTTCCGCATGCCACTACATTTTTAAGTGTGTACATCCAAGCCATTTTTTACTAGTCCAAAAATATGTGGGTCCATGCTTTCTTATAGATTTTGTGCAACCACTTCTTTTGAATGGAAAGATAATGGGAAGAAAAGTTGAGAACAGCTAATGTGTTCTATTGTCATGTTTGTATTCCAGATGAACTGATCCTGCCCACCAAAAATCCTCCTCTTTCTTTGGTCTTGTCAGTAGTCACTTCAGCTCTGGTTGCTGGTCTTATTCTAGCCTTCTCAGGGATCATGATAGGTGAGTTTTTTGTTCGCTCCCAACATATAAATTACCCACACAAGTCATTGATTGATTGATTGATTGATTTTTTATGTGTCATCAAGTTGGTGTTGACTCTTCGCGACAACAATCTTCTCCAGGATGATCTGTCCCCAAATAGGATCTTCAGAACTCCCAGTGGTGCACTCATCATCAGTGTAATTGAGCCCATTCACCTTGCTGCTGGGCATTATCTTCTCTTTCCTTCCTCTTCTCCCAGGATTATGGACTACTTAAGGGAGTTTTAGCATAATATGTCCAAAATATGGTAATTTGAGACTGGTCATTTGTGCCTCAAGTGAAAATTCTACATTGAGTTATTCTATGGTCCATTTGTTTGTTTTCTTTGCTATCCATGATATTCTTTAGAGTCTTCTCCAACACCAAAATTCAAAAGTGTCAACACTCTTTCCGTTCTACTTCTACACAGTCCAACTTTGTGCAATATTGTGCAATAGTTTGCACTCTCTGTTAAGTCTCCCTTCTCTGGTATTGTATGTAGACTGACCTCTTCCAATCTGTTGGCCACTGTGTCATTCTCTGGATTTGCTGGCATAATTTAGTTAGAACCTTTACTGGTTTTTCTTCTGTTGCGTGCCATATTTCTATAGATATTCTATCAATTCCTTTAGCCTTCCACATTTGTAATGACTGGAATGCTGATCTAACATCATCTTCTAGTGCTAGAAGTAAAAAAGGAATATCTTCTAAGACATCTTGGATGTTAACATCTTTACTGTGCAGAATTTCAGTATACATCTTCCATCTTTGTTTGATCTACTTTAAAACAGTTACTATTTGTCCACTGGCATCCTTTAGTGTACCAATTCAAAGTTGGAACCTCCTTCTGAGTTTGGAGATCTTTTGGAAGACTTTGCTTGTTTTTCCATGTCTGTTTCCATCTTGAATGTCTTTACAGATGACATTGTAATACTGTTTCTTATCTCTTCTAACAGCTCTCTGAAATTCTTTGTGCCTTCCTAAGATCTTTGTCCTTCTTGGTTTTGGCTCCTCTTCTTTTCTTGGCAGTTCCCATTGTCTGTTCTGACATCCTGTTTGCTTTCTTCTGTTTCTTGATCTTTGGCAATCTCTCATTCATCCTTAATAACTGCTTTGATTTCATTCCATAGTTCCTATCAATGAGGTTTCCTATCAATGAGGTTCAGGACTACAAAGCGATTCCTGTTGTTCTCCTTGAAAATGGTGAGTATCTAGTCAAGATCATACCATGGAAACTGTCTGGCTTTGTTCTATTACTTTAGCTTGACTTGGAACATCGGCATGTTCCACAATTAGTCTCTGGCCACATCGTTGCTATTATAACTGAGATTTTCCACCTGTTTGTATCAATAATATAATCAGTTTTTTGTGTACTCCATCTGGTGATGTCCATGTGTGTAAGCATTGCTTTGGTTATTAAAGACTTGTTAGCAATGAAGAAACTAATAAATCAGACTGATAAGTCAGTCTCCTACTTTATTTCTGTTTTTTAGGCCATATAGTCCAACTACGTTTTCCTCCTTACTATTTCCAACTTTGTATTCCAGTCTCCAACCACAAGGAGACATCTTGCTTGCATATGTTCTGTCGATTCCAGCTTGAACTTGACCATAAAATTCAGCAACCACCTCTTCTTCTGCACCAGTGGTTGGAGCATAAACTTGGATAACCAATATATTAAAGGGTTGTCTGCAAAATCTAATTGATATTATTTGGGCATTGACTGCATTGTACCATGTACTATCTTTGTTATATCCTTCCTGATCATGAAAGCAATGCTGATTCTTCTTTGTTTTTCATATCCTCAATAATAAATAATATGAACTTCTGACTGAAAGTGTCCAATTCCAGTCATATCAGTTAGCTGATACTTAAGATGTCAATCTCTGGTAGATTCATTTCATCTTTCATCGTGCAGAGTTTTCCCATGTTCAAGCTCTTTACATTCCATATTTCCACTGTGATTTTGTCTTTGCAGCTTCAGATTTTTTTTTTTTCCCTGCATGGCAACATCAGCAACTAGACATCCCAAAAGCTTTAATCTAACTGCATCATAAACACCATTATTACTCTGAAAGATCCTCAGCTCTTCCTCAGTGACATGTTGAATGCCAGCTGACTTGAGGGCCCATCATCCAGCACTATATTGTCATTCACTTTATCTTGTCTATCTATATGGTTTTCTGGATAAAATACAGGAGTGGTTTACCATTGCCTTCTCCCATGCCATATGAAATGGATGCCTTTGCAGTTGTAACTAAATAATCATCTGCCTTGTTGCTATCCAAAATAGGTACCTGCTTATTTTAACTAGTCAGCTGGGAAGATGTTCATAGCTTGGGTGACCCTGCTGGAGTATATACTTTTGGCATACACTCCTGGTATTCTCTGCTTATCCCTTCATACATACACACGCTCCTAACACAATAAGGCAGCATAGCAGAACTTGAGGGGGCAACACAGGTCCTGCTATGTGTTAACTCTGTAATCTGATGCCCTCAAGATGGACTGGGACTATGGCCATGCTTGGTGGTATTTCAGTGGCACAAGGTTGGGAAGGCTACTGTAGGTGATCTATCTTCTGACCTTAACTGACTAAATGACATGGAAAAGATAGCCCTTATTTCAATTATTTTAAATATTGATGCAAGTTAAAGCCAGATTGTGTAAGGAAGATTTTATCATGATTGCAACTGATTCTAGTATAATAGGAAGCTGCCTTATAGTGAATCAAATCGGTAGTATATCTATCAATGTAATTGTCTGCATGGACTAGCCACAATCTTCCAATATTTCAGGCTAAAGTTCTTCATCCCCTACCCAGGGCCTCTTGTTTACAAGTATATGTTATACCATTTAGCCATGGCTCTTCTGGTTTCACATATAGAAAGTTCAACAGTCAGCAGGATGTTAAATGAGATTGATGACATATGTATTCTTTCTTTGGCTGGCACCATATTAATCATGTAGTACATTCAGTTAGCTATTTGAAGTTTTTCAGTATGGGCTATGTTCATGATTTCAAGTCAGCTAAAAGGTAACTTGAAGAATGTATGACAAAAAGTGGCATCTTCATTGCAAGTAAAACTGTGAGCAACAATCTTAAAGCCATTCAGATATATTCTTCACTATGATCCTTATAAAATTATGCAGAATAAGCCAGCTCTGTAATTCTTATTATTGTGGTTGGGAAGATGAGAAAGAGTAACAGTGATTTGACCAGGATCATCTTATGGAATTCATTAGAGAGGCAAGATTCAAACCTGAAAAAATATGGTCTTGTTACTTTGGACCACAGGATATGATTCCAAGACTGGATCAGGTCCATGAGCTGATAGATAGTGATCTCTTCTCCAAACATCTAATAGATTAGATGCAAATTCTGGAGGTAGTACAAATAATAATAATTGTTTAGTATTTTAATAAATACATTTAATTACATTTTTAGAAATTGAAGAAACACTATATGTGTATGTGTGCAGACCGATACATTTTCTAGCTGCTCCCCCCCCACACACACACACATTAATTTCTTCTTCTCTCATCACAAGATTTTGAATGAATATTTCATTTTACTTTTAAAAGCCACCATCCTGTGTTGGGAGACATGGTAATTGGTTCTCAAATCCTGTCCTACTTCTTGCACACAGCCTAGTAATTTATCTGTTGAAACAGAAAGAATGTCTCTGCAGCAAAATCTACAGTACAGCACAGGGTTAAACTGCCCAGAATCAAGAATGTGCTGTGGGAAATTTTGTGCCCAGTTCCAATTACTCTTTCAAAGTAACTTTTTACATGTCCAATTAATTTTGATCTACATTCTACCTCTCCCCCCGCCCCCACCTCCACACACAGCATGTATTGCTCCCACAGGATTTTGAAAGGTTAGAACAGAGACTAGCTGAAGTCTGAAGTCCATATAAAGTTATTTATTTCCTTTAAAAAAAACTTAAGAGCTTTGCAAAGGCAAAATAGTGTTAGAAAACTAGCAATGAAAATAGGCTCAAAATTAAAAAAAAAAACAACTACTGACATTCTTTGTACATATGGCCTTATTTTCTGTTCTGTATGAATCAAAAAGTTCAGATGAGAAAATACTTACCAGAATTGTAGAAGGGAGCCCAAACCCTTGCATGTATTGCCTGCTCCACAAAAGAAGTGAGCAGGAATATCATTTCAGTTTTGCTAGCAGAGTAGAATGCATTTTAAGGAAGGGCAAGGTATCTTCATCCTGCAATAGATTTGCATCTTTTTAAAGTTCTAAATGTTTTAAAAGTTTTAAAAAGTTTGCATCTTTTTAAAATTCAGAGAAGGCCAAGTTTAGAATGTAGAATATAGAACATAGTGATAGTTAATAGGCATATAAAGGTATCCAGGGCCCAAAGCAAATTTGAGAGAATCTTGGGAACAATCTTTAAACAATGGGAATGATAAGCATTAAAAATTTCTAACAGCACTATAAGATAGACAGATAATACCCTCTTATCCTAAGCACTCCAGGACTCTGAGAAATTATTAAAGATGACAAGTTCCTACAATGAGTCTCCCAGTTCCAGGATTTTGGGCTACTGACAGCAGTAGGCTCTTTTGGGGAGTAACAACCAAAAATAAAGTTCAAAGATTATTCCATATCATTGGAAACAGCTTTCAGGTCCTCACAGAAAAAATGAAACAAGAGATCATGTTCAAAAGAAATGACAAGCTGGTCCTCTGAGGATCAGAGGAATAACAAAGAAAAGAATTGTAGGAGTTGGTAACTCTCTAATCTGATATGTGCCAGCTAGACAGGCTAACTTATGAAACATGCTTTCCTTTGAGAGCATGAATCAGAGTAACCTGCCAAGATACCTCAAGACAGTTTTAAGCTTTCTGCTCTACCTTGTTGGGGGAAACAATGTGACCAATAACAATTATTTTCACATCACCTCTGACTCCAGAACATTAGAAAGAAAGCTGAATTTGTCAATAAATAGTTCCACATTATTACTCATTGGTTAGATCCAACTGGTCCCCAGTTGTGGACACCACACTGGTGTAAGAAGGATTTGACAATAGGGTCTGTAAAGAGCAGCAAAGGTGATAAGGAGAATTATAACAGGAAACAGAAGTAATAGGGAATATTTAGCCTTGATAAAAAAAGGCTATGGGTAAATATGATAGCACTCCTCGAATACCTGAAAGGATATCATGCAAAAGATCTGCTTATCCTATTTATTTATTTCCAGTCAGATAGAGATCATAGAAAACATCTATCAGATCTGTTATCTCAGAGTGTAGAACAAGAAATAACAGTTTTAAGTTACAGGAAGGTAGGTTCCAGTTGAAGATCAATGATATTTACTCCTTATAGTAAGAGCGGTTTGACTGTAAGACCTATTACTAGAGAGATTATGAGTTTCTCTACCTCGGATGTGTTCAAAGGAAATTGGATAATCATCTGGTCAGAGATACTTTAACTTGATTTTCTGCACTGAGCAGGGGGTGAGATTCAACAGCCTAAATTTTCCCATCTAACTGTATATTGTTGTTGCAACATCTCAACTACAGCACAACTGTTTTGAGCATCCTTGTAGATGACAGTTGGATCCAGGTTTGAGACAAGCCTCCACCTAAAACAATAGCTTTAGCAAGATGACAGCCTTTCCCAGTAGTGTGTTTTCAAGGAATTGCAATACTTTTTCTTCTAGCATCTCCTCATTCTGAGCTGTTGACAAACAAGCCTTCCAACTTTCCAGTTTCTGGGAGGGCTGTCACCAGAAGACAACAGCCACTTAATAGCTATCTGCAGCATTAGCTGCAAGGGGTTCTGGTTGCTAAGAAACTCTGAAGCACCTTGGACCTCTTTCTCCCATTTGATTAGGTACATTGAGGGTCTGGCAATGAAGGCAGTTTTTATTTCCATTATAGTTATGATAACCTGCTGGTTGACTGCTTAATGTTGATAGTAAACTATTAAAGATCTCAAATCTTCAACATCACAGAAATCATGTACAAACTCTAGATTAGTCACCTCTGTAATAAATGAATAGAAGCCTCTAGTCATGCCAGACCCATTATATACAGTGGTCCACTTAAAACCTTTTTTTATTTTCTTCCTCAATAACTCACAAATAGCCTTGTTCTACAACTCTCACTCCTGGCTCTCACTCTTGCAATCAATCTGAACCGCACAGTCCCCATGTATCTTCATGTGTTTTTAACACCTTGTGGCATTTCTCAGTTCCATTCCTAATTCTCTTCCTTTTCTAGTGTATCGGCGGAAACACCAAGAGCTGCAAGCTGTGCAGATGGAGTTACAGAGCCCTGAGTATAAGCTGAGCAAGCTGCGTACCTCCACAATTATGACAGACTACAACCCCAATTACTGCTTTGCAGGAAAAACTACTTCCATTAGTGACCTCAAAGAGGTGCCCCGGAAAAATATTTCTTTGATCAGGTAAACCAATCTGCCTGCCTTCTTTATGCTCACATCAACTGTACTAGAAATGTGGGCAAGCCGATTGTGCACCTTTTGCTTGGTCTCAGAAGTCACACAGTAGTCCTCATTTGCAAGCTTCCAAAATTGTACTTTTTAAACAAAGCGAAGAATAATTGAAATCTGAATTTCTAGCAGTTCTTGTGTCTGATTGTTAAATCTACTTCCTGTGGTTAATTGAAAAGGCCCGCTTAAAATTCTAGGAGTTGAAGTCGACCCATCTTAAAGTTGGTGAGGTTGAGAAATTTAATAAGCTTAATACCTTATGAAGAGTTACTGGTAGCTGCTATCTTAGCCAGGTCCTTTGACTTGTAACTGTAGGGGGTGATAGTTGCTGGCATGCCATGTGATCCTGACTCACTCAGAAAAGCAAAACACCCACCACAAACCTCAGAGCCTGAATCAAGCATCTGGAAAGTACAATACAATAATAGGCACCACTTCTAATGTATTGATGTATTGTATCTATACAGGAGGGGCATGAGGAACAAAGCAAAAGCTTTACCATGTGGCTTATTTGATTCTTGATGGGGAAGCTTACATAGGATTGGCTAGAAGGAGCAAGCTTTTCAGAAGACATCTTAGAACCAGACTAAACATCAAGTATAGAACCAGACTAAACATCAATGATACAGGTATAAGAAGAACCCTACTGGCAGAGTCCAGCCATCTCTTCCCACAAAGCCTGTTAGATGTCTGTCAGAGTTTCACAAGCAAGATATACATCCAGTAGGACTCTGCCAGCTGTGTTCCACAGCAAATAACATATAGATAACGTATAGCCATGTCACTCTGCCTTGCAAAAACAAACCACACCATGCTTCCTCTCTAAAGATATCCTGTGGAGACTGATTTGGACTATAGCTGCTATTTATTCCAGATGGGGGTTAATATTTTTCCTTCTGCCATTTTTACCACTTAAGTTTCCATCTGAAATTCCTAGCATTTGTTCTAGGAGCAAAATCCAGATACTTATGTAAATATGCATTTCAAAACTACTTTCTACTAAGTCAGATCACTTGACTATTTAGTTCAGTACTGAATGTTGTGGCAGCCAGGGACTTGGACAGGTTCTTTCTCAGAAAATGTACCTGAGTCCCTTTCCACTGAAGCTGCTGGCATCAAGTCCCTCAGCATGCAGGCACCTTCCCTGCCACTGAGCCAGGCTTCTTTCCCAGCAAGTCTCCTAAGCAGGTGAGAGGAGTGGGGGGAGTGCATTTATATTGGGAAAATACAGCAAAGGGAACGGAGTTTTTACAAAAGGAAAAAAAGCAAGCAAACTTCCTTTAATACTGCTCCATTTGGACTTCTCAGAAGATGCTTTAAGGTTTTTTTAAAAAAAAATTCTGGGAGGAAATGCCTATAAAACACACACACACACACACACACACACACACACATGCATATACAGAGAGGGAGAGTCACAGATCTACTTGTTTCTTTTGATTTTTAGGGCAACTTGCTGAAGAAGAGAGGTGCTTCCTTGTTTTCTTCCAATGATGTCCTGAGTTAAATATTGTTAGTAAATGCCACAGGATAGTACACAATTATAAAGCTTCTGGCTCTTCCACTTAAACTGCTTAAACTTTAGTTTTCCATCCCCTCCAGACCACTAACCTTGACAATTATCCTTTTCATTTTGCATTGCAGCTGGCATGCACAAAATAAACGGATGTTTTCCTTAAGAAAAACCAACCACAGTAATGTTCGCCTTGTGAGAAACTGCATTCTGAAAATATGCAATATTCTAGGAACAAAAGTATCACTATTTAAACATAAGGCTAAATCAAACAAACCCAAAAACTTCCACAAAAACTGGCTTTAAGTTAGCTAGAGTGGCATGGCTAATCCTATATAGTTAAAGGTTAGAGGTCTCAAATTTCTTCTACAGTCAACTGGGTCTACATAATATATCTCCATCTCCTGCCTTGGTGTAATGGCTTACTGCTGCCAGGCACCTTTGCGCTAACCCTGATATGAGAGAAAAATAGGGTTCTCACAACCAATCTACAGCATGGCAAGTAGAAGATTTAAAAAATGATAATTTTTATTCATTAATAAATGAATTTAATAGTTCATTTTCATTCATAATAATCAACTGTATAATTCCACTTCATGATAGGATAGAATTGAAATATATACGTAGCTGAATCAGACTTTCCTCCCCTCCTGCTTTGGGCGATAGATTGATCTCATAGGAGACAAATAAAAATAAACTTTATTTTAAAAAAGAAAAGGAAGGAGAATATGTAAAAATCCCTTTTTGGTTTTAAATAGGCATGTGCAAAACATTCAGTTACAAAGGAGATTAAAAACAGATCCCGATTTAAAAGGATTCCCCATTTTAAAAAAAAGAAAGAAAAATATAAGGCTCTAGGTAGACTAGAAGGTGATGCTGGTCTACTTTCAATTTAGAAGCAACTGTGCTATAAACAGGTTTCAAGTTGCATAAAATGCACCATTACTGAGCTTGTACAGAGAAAATAAATACCACAGAAAAAGCATTAGGCACAAGCCCGCACAGTCAAAATAAAAATGATCTTATGCAATATTTCTAGCTCAGTGTTTTTAAATATCCTTTTAAAGATATTTTCCTGAAATGGATTTGCGTCTGCCTCAGTCATACCTGGACTTGGTCTCAGGTCCCTGAGGAATCCAGTCAGTTAATTCTGAGGCTGTCTCTGTTCCAAGGATCTGCCTTTGTTCTCAAAAGACAACAAAGGAAGGGGGTTGGGGATAATTTCTCTCCCTGTGAAAATGCAAAGTAATATCTCAGTGGGCTTGCATATAGACTGAAACAATGGCTATCAGTGAATGTGGGGAAGAGAATTACTTGCCCATTCACTACATAAACCCTTTGAAAAGACCCCAAGAAGTAAGCCTCTTGATAACTTCATGATTCCACCATTGGATATTGATTTTATAATTTCTAATTATAAAATTCTGCTAGATAAGCTTTTCAAGGCAGCACTATGAGGCACAGAAAAGTCCCCCTCTTCTTCTACCCTCTTAGTTTGTAGAATAAAAACTGGCCATAGTTGCCTGGATTGTATTGTATTGTATTGTATTGTATTGATTGATTGATTGATTGATTGATTGATTGATTGATTGATTGATTG